TTTTTTCAGCGTGATGCAGTCGTCGGTGTTGTGGGAGGTATTCTTATGGAACCGACAGTAAGTACCGCCCTGGTGGATGGCATGGATCTCCTTTGTTGGCCGAAGATCACGCTCAATGAGATCGTGCTCCTCGGCGTAGTCGAGGATGGTGCTGACCGAGTGTGTGAGTGGGATCTTCGGCCGTTCCATCCTCGGCCGCCAATGGCGGTCTTTCTTGCTTTGTCCGCCAGAGCCATGGCGGCTCTGGCCACCCTGACCGATCGAGGGCGTGCCCATGACCGGTGAAGGATTTGTCTTCTTCGGGGGGTGCTCGCCGTCCTTCTTGTGGCTGTGGAGTTCGTCGGCGTCGGCGTACAAACTCCCTCGCTGGAGTGCCTTCGCGTATGACCTTGGGAGTCAGTGATGAGGCTCCTTGTGTATGGGGTACTGCGGAGAGCCCCCTCATAGAGGACGAGGAGGGTGCGCTCGTCGGACCCCTCTACCTCCTCAGTCTCCTTCGTCCACCGATCTATGAATGATCGGAGAGACTCGTCGTGTTGCTTCTTGACAGAGAGAAGGTGGGTGAAATACTTGTTCGCACGCTTCCTCTCGGCAAAGTGAGTGAGGAAGCGTTGGGCAAGATCCTGCCATGAGTCTATGCTTCCTTCGGGGAGCGCGTTGAACCACTCGTACGCCGGCCCCTCAAGGGTGGAGAGGAACCAGCGGCAGAGGTATTCATCCGACGCGTTCACCATCAGCATGTTATTTTGGTAGCGGCTGAAGTGCTCCTGGGGGTCCGAGCGGCCGTCATAGGGCTTGATGGCGTTTCCCCGGTACTTCTCGGGGATAGGGGCCGAGAGTACCCTGGTGGTGAAGGGGGTCCTCATCCTGACCTGGATGATGGGGTCCCTCGTCCTTCGGCTAACTCCCTTTCAAGGATAGTGACTTTGTTCAGAAGGCCGTTGAAGCCGGGATCTCCGGACGAGTTGCCGGTGGGCGTGGCGGCCAACTGTTTAGCCTCCATCTGGGCGAGCCTTCGCTCGAGTTGGGCGATTACCTCGTCCTTGGGATCCCTAGCGGCCGTAGCGGCGCCCTGTGTTTGCAAGCGGGCTGCATGAGCCGTATTGATTTGGTGGCGGGCATCATCCTCATGCAACTTCCCCTTGCCTTTGTCCAGACGGGGTCGATCCGCTGTCCGGGATACCGACCCCAAGCTTTCCCTGAATGAGCCAGGCTCACGCTGCCCAATCCGCCCCACCATCCTCTCCGAAGCAGGCTGACGGCACGTGTCACCTAGCCTATTAAAGGCTGAGGCTTTTCCACGCGTTGGGGCCAGTCCAGCTCGAAGTGGGGAAGCAGGGTGGGAGTGGGACGACGAAGTGTCCTGGGCCACCACCCCTTCGTCGTTGCCTAGTTTGACGGCCAGCGGATGGGGCTGAGGAGGCAGTGTAGTGTTCTCCCCAGTCCTCGGCATGAGCGTGCTTAGGACGGTGGGGTTCTGGACCAAGCTGGCGATGATGGCCGAGAGCGCGTCCTGAAGCTGAGGGTCAACGGCAGGAGAGGCCGGTTGCGCCGAGGCATTGTCGCCTTTCTCCGCGCGCTTCTTGTTCAAGCCGAGGCGGGCATCAGGGGCGCCGCCGTTGAGCTTGTTGCGCAGGTCTCCTGCGAGGTCGATGGCTTCCTGGAAGACATCCCCCTCAGCGGCCTTGTCGGCCGTGGGGTCCTCCTCGTGTTCTTGGTTCTCTTGGGCCTCAGGGATGGACTTGCTGAGGAGGTTGCGGTTTGACTTAGTTCTTCCCATTGTCAGTTAGCTGTGCTTGGTTGCGACGAAGGAGGCTAACTTGATTGTTCTAGCTCTCAATGAAAGTACCAAATGATAGAGTAAATCTAGAGAGAAGTGAGAGCTAGAGAGAGAAGTAGTATAATTGCTCTGTATTAATGAATTTCAGAACCCACATAACTACTCCCAAAGGGAGTATTTATAGGAAAAATTAGGGCTGGGCTCCCAAGTCTTGGGTTTGGGAGGCCCGTTTACAACTGGACCGCTATTGAGCCGAATACAAAGTAAATGATAGAGTATACAAATGATTAAGTACAGAATCCTGTTCTGGGAGTCCTTTATGGCCGACGAGGGTCTGGTCGACGAGGACATGGCCGACGAGGACCCGGCCGATGAGGTCACCCGGTTCTTCTGGCTCCCGGATCATATTCTGGGTTGACTTCGTTCCAACCGATGAGGGTCATCTGGCCGACGAGGGTCCCACTAGGTGGCAGTTGTGTCTTCTGTCCTCTTGAGTATGTGGGTCCTGGGGTCCAGGCTCATATACTCCATCAGTTCTAAAGCCGTTATATGTTTTGAAGAACTGAATAAGGATTAAGGAACGAAGTCGTCTCTATACTAAAATCAAGGAGTTCGAGGATATTCTTGCTAAAAGAGGTCAATCTGAACAAATTGTATTTTCTTTTAAATAATAAACCAAAGGACACTGAATTTTATAACTCTGGAGAAGGACTAGGCTTTCAAAACTCATGTAACTTAAAGAAAGTTAATTGCAAGCAATTTTATGACATAAGATACATGAAGTTAGGGTTAGGTAATTTAATGTTCGTCCATAGTGCTACTAAAATTAATGAGGAAGAAGAGGACAAAAGGAAAAATAGAGTTAAAGCTGAAATTAGTTTCAATTATTCTGCTCTTAATGAAAGCTATGTTATTCGAGAAATTCCTTTGTCTGATACTATTTTGTCCTCTTCCCTCCTGAAAATCAAACTGTGTCTAATGAGGATGAAACCTCTACTTCAAAGGTTTCTGAACCATATTTTCCTGCAATAATCAAGAAAATGGTTGATCTTCATTCTTCTTTCAAAGAACAAGAGAAATTTAAAACTGAGAAGGAAAACTTTTTAAATAATATTTCAGAATTAACTAGCTAGTAAATCCTCTCAAGGCTCGAAAATTCCTGTTAATTCCCTTTTTGAAAAGAATAAAAAGAAAATCATTTTTACAGAAAAAGAACTCATCTTCTTCTCCAACTCCCCATACATGAAAAAAAAATTCTAATCACCATGCAGGAAGGATGACTTTGATCCCGAAGAAGATTTCTAAAATCTTTAATTTTGTTGAAAAGTCTTGTAATAGTTTTAGAAATTGTTTTCCTTCTCATTCTAGTTCTGTTGACTCTAATTCATGTGATGCTATTAAGTTTGATAATTTAAATTCTCTTTTTTCTAAATGTGATGTGAGTAATGTGATTGTTGATAATGATCGGTTACTTTCTCTACTTGTAAAGGTTTTTGTTTAAATTATCCTTTGAAAGTTTGTTCAATCAAACATCTTAAGAGATTAGCAAGAGAGAAAATATTCACAAATATTAAAAACAATCACTTACCTATCCAGAACAATTTTCAGCATGTTCCAAAAATCAAACAAGTTTGGATTCCCAAGAATGAAATTAATAAGGCTGCTTTAAATATTACTTTGAATAAACAAGACGGACCCATCCTTAAATGAGTACCTAAGGTGCCTTAGTTTTTGCAGGTCAGTCATGTGTGGTATCTTGATTCTGGTTGCTTCACACACATGACTTGGAAGAAAGAACTATTGAGCAACTACATCGACAAATTCGGTGAGAAAGTGAGATTTGGAAATAGTGAGTCTGCACCTATCCTTGAATATGGAGATATTTGTAACAAGAAGATTACGATCAAAGATGTGTCATACGTTGCTTGATTGACGCACAACCTGTTTAGCATCGGGCAATTCTGTGACAAAGGAATGAAGGTTATATTCCGAGCTAAACAGTGTTGTGTAAAAGTTGAACAGGGGAAGACCATTCTCGGGTGTATTTGAAAGTCAAGTCTATACACCATAGTCTTGAAAACTATTCATTCTTCTACAGATGTCGGCCTGCTGTCAAGAGCATCTTCTGAACAAAATCAATCCGACAAGAGCATAATTGGAGTTGACAGATGCTCTCGGGTGTATGAGTTGTTTCATTTCACTCCGGCCTGTTATCAAGAAGAGTATGGATGGACTCGGGTTGGTGGCCCGACCCGGAACCGGCCCGGGACCGGGACTGTTCCGGCTCGGCCCGACCCGGTGGCCCGGTAAGTGACCGGTCCGAGTAGGCCCGACCCGTGGGTTTTCCGGTCCGGGCTCGGGTCACCCAAAACAAGGCCCGACCCAGCGGGGCCCGGGCTCGATTCGGGCCAAAACTATTTTTTTTTTTCAATTTTTTTTAAATTTTCAGGTTGGGCTGGATATTTTAGGCCATTTGGGGTGGTTTGGGGGGTTGGGGGTGGGAGGGGGGTTAATTAGGAAGATGGAAAAAAAAATTGATAATGGGCCCGGCCCGGACCGGACCCGGTGGTTACCCGGGCCGGTCCCGGGTCCACCACTTCTGAACCGCCGGCCCGCCCGGGCCTAGGCCCGACCCGGACCCGGCCCGGACCCGAGTCCATCCCTAATCAAGAGCATCTTCTGAACGAAAAAACTACTGCCACCCACTTATGCTCCCCCCTCCCCTCGCACATGTTTTTTCAATCACGGGTGCAAGCCTGGTTCAACATTTTCCTCTTTAGTTTTTTTTTACAGGTGGAGCTAGGGTTGGACTCGGGTCCGGGCCGGGTCCGGGTCGAGCCTAGGCCCGGGCGGGCCGGCGGGTCAGAAATGGTGGACCCGGGACCGGCCCGGGGAACCACCGGGTCCGGGCCGGGCCGGGCCGGGCCCATTATATATTTTTTTTTTGTTTTCCTCTTCCTAATTAACCCCCCTCCCACCCCCAACCCCCCAAACCACCCCAAATGGCCCAAAATACCCAGCCCAACCTGAAAAGTTAAAAAAAATTGAAAAAAAAAACAAAATTTTTTGGCCCGAACCGGGGCCGGGCCTTGTTTTGGGTGACCCGAGCCCGGACCGGAAAACCCACGGGCCGGGCCTACCCGGACCGGTCACTGACCGGGCCACCGGGTCGGGCCGGGCCGGAACAGTACCGGTCCCGGGCCGGTTCCGGGTCGGGCCACCCGGCCCGAGTCCATCTCTAGGTGGAGCAAGTTTCCAAACTCCAATTACTCCAGATCATTGTAGGAATTACTTTACAATTAGTTATATTTGGAATTAATATTGAATGTCGCAAATTGTTGAGATTATCATATGAAATTTTCCTTATGTTGTTTATTACATTTTTTACTCGGCTAAACAATTTATTTATTTTTCAATATTTAAAAATCAATAAGACAAACAAATGAGTTTATTACAAAAATGAATTGTTTCTCAATCATACTACTCTTAATATGAGAGAACTTCAATATATTTTGCAATGCATACAATCATTCATTCAAGCTCCAATTCACTAGTGGTAAAACACCTAATATCAACTTCTTGATAATATTCTCAAGAATTACTACTATCCTCCGTATCTCATTAGTTGCAACATTGGAATATATACGCTATTCATGTACTTTACTTTGACTACATTTTATTTATTAATGTATGTGAATTATTTTTTTTGAAAAATGTTGTTAAATTCGTCTCATTACTAAGTTTTATAATCTGATTTTTATTTTATTTTTACTAATACAAAATTAAATATAATGACGGTCAAAGTTGTGCGTTGGCAAACGTGAAATGTTGACTGTTGCAACTAAAAAGAGACGGAGGAAGTATTATTTTAATAAGTTAAGTGATAGACTAAGTAGCAATCCTAATTCTCATGTTTTATCGAGTAAGTTTGTAGAAGAAGAATATTTAAATTGTGATTCTGAAGACCGATCGGATGTAGTACAAACAAAAACATTTAAATTATTGACACTTGACTCTGGGGCGGAGCCAGAGCACGTGGCCAGACTGGACCGATACAAATAATATTTTTGAGAAAATATTACTCGGAATTTTCTACATTACAAACAAGTAACTTTAAATTTTGGGGTGGGCTAGGCCCTAGGTTGCCACCCCCCCCCCCCCCCCCCCCCCCAACTACTGGGGTTGGTCGTTCTTTCTCTCTTTCATGAGCGAAACCAAAGAATCAATCATCTGCAAATGTATAAACATCGGTCAGGAATGTGATCAAATTGACTAGAATATATCTACGTTTAGCAGCTATGCTTTTCGTCTTTTAAGCCAGATTATTTATCGCAGTGTTGAGCTGTTTAACAGTGAAACAAAGTAAGGCTGCGTACTTCTTCGCCTCTTCGGCAGAAATTACTAAAGATGAACATGACCATTTTAGACACTTTTTCATATATTTTATCAATGAAAGGAATTTGAATATTCTTACGATTCAGTAATTTCACCTTTTTCAGCGACAATTTGGGCCACCTAAAGCGCTATTGTGTCTTACCAAACGGGCTCTAAGTTTATTGAATTTGGTGTAGCTTATCATGATTTAAGGTAGTTGAACCGTTATAGACCCTGACATAGTGTACCAATTGTACCTAGAGACACTATCAAGTGTCAACTATTACGGTATCCCATACTCCCTCCGTCCCGCTAAGATTGTCTCATTTTTTCTTTTCGGGTAATTTGACAAAGATTGTCTCATACCAAATTTGGTAAAGTTTGTGTGAAACTAAATCATTTTTACTTTATTTTTACTTTATCAATTTATCAACCACATAAACTCACTTTTCTTAATAATCGTGCCACCTTCTCATATCCCAAAGGGACGGAGGTAGTATTTGAAAACTACTCATATATACCCACCAATATTAGATATGCTTAGTGAAAATTCACGAAATAGGAGTAAAAACAATGTAAATTCCAAGATAAGAGTACGATGATGAGGCTATTTGTACTTTAGTACAGGAGTAAGATTGCGTACATCTGGCCCCCTTACCCCTCCGCAAGTGGGAGCCTTTGCGGCACTAGGATAATGATGATGATGATGAGGAATACATTACTGTCATCATGAAATTTACTGTCATATTTTGGCATTATCAGGATCTTTAAATATAGCAGTATTTCCAAGCATGTGAGTAATTAGTCCTATTTATGGAATAGATGTTAGAAAATTAAATTAAACATGGAAGTTGAAAGAATAAGTCTTTTGATATTCCTTGTAAGTTTCTAGGTTCACTTAATGCCTAGAAATATGAAGAGTCTTTTATTAAATCTAGATTAATAATTGTCTAGGAATGTGAAAGGTCTAGAATATGGAGGGTTAGATCTCTTAAGAACTCCTCCTATAAATATCTCATCCCTCCCTTGTATTTGTGAGCCAAGTGAATGAAATATTATTCTCCATTCTAGTCTCAATACCTTCCTCTATTTCTCTCTACAAATTGGTATCAGAGTCATTGATCAATATGAACAAGATTCCTCTTTCTTTTATTCCTCAGTTAAATAAAGAAAATTATGCAAAATGGAGTATCCAAATGAAAGCTCTTCTGAGATCTCAAGAAGATTGGGAGATACTTGAAAAGGGATATATTGAAGTGGAAGATGAAGAGGAGTTGACGCAAGCCCAAAGAGAGAATCTAAGGAGATCGAGGAAGAAGAATCAACAAGCCCTATTTTGGATATACCAAGGAGTGCAGTCTTATGAACTTGCTTGGGAGAAAATAGCTTTTGCCACTTCGGCAATGGAAGCATGGCAAATTTTGGAGAATTCATTCTAAGGAGATGAAAAAATGAAGAGGGTTCGACTACAAACTCTTCGAGGGGAGTTTGAAAAAGACGAAGTCAGAATCAATTGAAGATTATTTCTCTCGGGTATTGCACGTAGTCAACCAACTAAAAACAAATGGTGAAACTATGGACAATACTCGTGTCGTTGAGAAAATTCTTCACTCTTTGGATTCTGCATTTGACTACATTGTGGTAGCCATCGAAGAGTCAAACGACTTGAGCACCATGACACTTGATCGACTCTCTGGATCGTTGAAAGCACATGAAGAAAAACTAAACAGGAAGAAGGAGGTGATAGTAGATCAAGCGCTCCCATCAAAGTTGTCTCTAGATGAAAAAAGGAAGAACTAAGAAGTCATGGAGCAAATCGTGGTCGTGGAAGAGGAGGAAATTTTAGAGGAAGAGGCTCATATTCTCATGGAAGAGGACCTCATGCCAACCAAGATAAGGGATGGAGTGAAGCAAATTAAAGCCGAAACTTTAGAGGTTCACAAAGAGGACGAGGGTGTGGATCTCAAAGAGGAAGAGGTCATGGCTATTTAGAATGCTATAATTGTCAAAACTCGGTCATTTGGCAAGTGAATGCTGGTACAAAGAGAAAGGAAAACATGATGCCAACCTGGCATGTGGAGGAACGAACGAGGAACACCAAAGTCAAGACACCTTGTTGCTCGTGGCTCAAGGAGATGATCGTGAAGATGTTTGGTATCTGGACAGTGGTGCTAGCAAGAACATGGCAGGTAATAAACATCTATTTACAAAACTCATTGAAGGAAACTATGGAGAAGTTAAAGTAGGAGATGGAAAGTCATACAAAGTTTGTGGTGCTGGTGAGTTGGAGTTCAAGACAAAACAAGGAAAAATTGAAAGAATGTTTGAAGTATATATCGCTCTTGGCTTAAAGAATAATTGGCTCAGTGTTGGTCATCTTTTGAGGAAGGGATATGATATTCACTTCCGTGATATGACATGTTTCTTGTCAAGGTAAAATCAAGTTGTTGCTAGAATTGGAGTTGCCTCAAATAATCTTTTCTCGTTCATCCTTAAAAAACGAGACATGTCATGTTTTATTGGTGGTGACATGGGACTTTCCCAGTTGTGACATGAGAGATATGGCCACCTAAACTATGGAAGTTTGGAGATGCTTTCTAAGAAAATGATGCTGAGAGGTTTGCCAAAGATTGACCGCCTTGATAATGCTTGTGAATCTTGTCAGCTGGGAAAGCAACACAGACAATCTTTTCCTTTGCATACTCCATGGAGAGCAAAAAGACCACTCCAGCTAGTTCACTCGGACCTTTGCGGCCCGATGTCAGTTCCGTATTTGGGAGGTAATCGTTACTTTATCTCTTTTATTGATGACTACTCTCGGAAGGTTTGGGTTTATTGTGTAAAAGAAAAGTCTCAAGCTTTCGAGAAGTTCAATGATTTCAAAGCAAAAGTGGAGAATTTTACCAGGCTAAAAACCAACACCTTGCAGACTGATCGAGGAGGTGAATAATTTTCAAATGAATTTGAAAAATATTTCAAAAACAATGGGATCCATCATGAGTTGACAGCTCGTCATACACCACAACAAAATGGAGTGTGTGAAAGAAAGAATAGAACAATCATGGAGATGGCGAGATGTCTTCTCAACAAGAAGAAATTATCTTGGTTTACCTTATTAATAGGTCACCTACAAGAAGTTTAGCAAATTGCACCCCACATGAAGCTTGGTATGGACGAAAGCCAAGTGTTCATCATTTGAGAGTGTTTGGGAGTGTTGCCCACTCTCATATACCAAATGCAATGAGGAGCAAGCTGGATGACAAGTCAGAGAAATGCATTTTTATTGGCTACAGTGAAAGAAGTAAGGCGTACAAATTGTACAATCCGGTGACAAAGAAGGTTGTGATAAGTCGGGATGTCCGTTTTGATGAAAAATCTGTGTTCGATGAAGTTGAAAAGGAGAAGAAAAATTTTCAATTTCTCCATTTGAAAATGAAGAAGAAAGGGAGGCAACACCTGAAGATGAAAGAGATGATCACTCCTCATCAAGTTCTTCTTCAAGCAGCTTGATAAGAAAATCAAGGAGTCTTCGAGAGTTATATGAAGTAACCGATGAAGTTGAAGGAAACAATGTTATTTTCTTTGCTTTCTTTGCAGGTGAGGATCCAATTTCCTTTGATGATGCGTATAAAGAAGAAGTCTGGAGGAGAGCCATAAAAGAGGAGATTGACTCAATTGAAAACAATGAGACATGGGAGCTCACAAATTTGCCACCACATAAGAACTCTATTGGAGTAAAATGGGTGTACAAGACAAAGATGAACCCAAATGGCTCTATTAACAAGCACAAGGCAAGGTTAGTGGCAAAAGGGTACAAGCAAAAGGAAGGAGAAGATTTTTCCGAAGTGTTCGCTCCCGTTTCACGACATGAGACAGTTCGTCTACTTATTTCCTTTGCTGCCCAAAATAATTGGAAGTTGTTCCAAATGGACGTCAAATCTGCATTTCTGAATGGCGTTCTCAAGGAAGAAGTGTATATTGATCAACCGTCGGGGTTTGTCAAGAAAGGGCAAGAAGATAAAGTGTACAAGTTGAAGAAAGCTTTGTACGGTTTGAAGCAGTCGCCCCGAGCGTGGTATAGCCGCATCAATTCTTACTTCATGAAATATGGATTTCATAAATGTCCATATGAGCATACTCTTTACGTCAAAAGCGACTCTCAAGGAAGCTTCATGGTCGTTAGTCTCTACGTTGATGATCTCATTTTTACTAGAAATAATGAGAAGATGTTGAAAGAATTCAAGCACTCGATGATGGCTGAATTTGAGATGACAGATCTTGGTGAGCTTCATCATTTTCTTGGCAACGAAGTTCATCAAAGTGAGAAAGGAACATTCATTTCCCAAGAAAGCTATGCGAAAGATGTTTTAAAGAAATTCAAGATGGAGAATGCTAATCTAGTCTCTACTCCATGCATCACAGGCTTGAAGCTATCTAAGGAAGGCAAAGGGAAGCTCATTAATCCTACTATGTTCAGAAGTTTGGTTGGAAATTTGATGTATCTTACTACCACAAGGCCTGACATTGTATACGCAGTTAGCCTGGTGAGTAGATTCATGGAAAAACCTTATTCTAATCATTGGGAGGCTGCCAAGAGAATTTTGAGATACATTAAAGGAACTGTTGATCATGGAATTTTTTATGAGGCAAATGTTCCAGTTATTCTTGTCGGTTATACTGACAGCGACCTAGCGGGGAGTATTAATGATAGCAAAAGCACTTCTGGATATGTATTCCATCTTGGCACCGGCGCGATATCATGGAGCTCGAAGAAACAATCAATTGTGGCGCTCTCTACTACGGAGGCAGAATATAACGCCGCATCTTATGCTGGATGTCAACTGGGTTGGTTACGAGGAATTTTGGAAAGTTTGAAGCAGGAGCAAAAACAGTCAACCACTTTGTTCTGTGACAACTGTTCAACAATTTCTGTTACGAAGGACCCAGTTCTTCATTGGAGGACAAAGCATATTGGCATCCGATATCATTTTTTGAGGGAACTTGTGAGTGAAGGAGAAATTCAAGTGAAGTATTGCAAGACCAAAGATCAAAGAGCCAACATTTTCACAAAGCCGCTTAGTGCACAAGTTTTCAAGAAACGCGCCGAAAATCTGGGAGTACGAAGCAAGTTTAATTTAAGGGAGGCATTGTTGGGAAATTAAATTAAACTTGGAAGTTGAAAGAATAAGTCTTTGGATATTCCTTGTAAGTTTCTAGGTTCACTTAATGCCTAGAAATATGAAGAGTCTTTTATTAAATCTAGATTATTAATTGTCTAGGAATGTGAAAGGTCTAGAATATGGAGGGTTAGATCTCTTAAGAACTCCTCCTATAAATATCTCATCCCTCCCTTGTATTTGTGAGCCAAGTGAATGAAATATTTTTCTCCATTCTAGTCTCAATACCCTCCTCTATTACTCTCTGCAATAAAAACACAGTGCTTCTATTTTAAAATACCAAAACGTTTTCTCTTATTTAGAGCAATTTCATATGAACTTATTATCCAACCTCATTCTTTAGATTTTAAGGTTGAGAGTCATACTCCAACTCTTGGAAAAAAGAATAGAAATACTGAAACCATTAGCAGTGTAGAAGCCGATCCAGATTTACCTCATTTGTGATTTAGTGTAAAGATGTTAGCCACCACAGCGGCCTTCATCTTCTTTGGAAGTTGAAGTATTTGATAGCGAAGCCGAAAGTAACTGCAAATATAAGGCAGAAACCGGCCACCACAAAAATAGCTACACCAAGGAACTCATGCCGGAACCCAAACTGCTGCAGGAGGAAGTCTTTGATTGGCACAGAAGTAACACCATCAGGCAGTTTCACATAGTCATTTACATCCCCATACTGAGATGTCAAAAGTCCATACAGACTCCAAGCAACCGGATTTGCCCAGTAGTACCATCTCCACCATATGGGGATTCTCTGCAATGCAATGTCAATCATCATCATATGATGAACATTTTTCATGTAATTTGTCAATGCCTGACTCTTGAAACAATGAGCCCATTTGAAGGCTAAGATAACTGAATTTCTTGAAATTGTGGTTGATTATGATCCCTAAACTTTCATTCTTTTTTACTTTTGGTGAGGGCTGATTTTTTATCACCTTTTGTCCCCCTTTCGGTCACCTATCCGGCAAAAGTCAAACCGGAAATTGTATGAAATTGGTCACATAACTGAGATAACTGATCCTCAGAACTCGGAAGGACCAAAATTGAAGTTCAAAAAAAAATAGAGCATCAAAGTTGGTAAGGACTAAGGAACTAATAGTCATGGAACCAAATGTGGAAATCTTTCATTTGGTTATTTTTCTAAAAAAGCATTAATTTGTTCCTCTAGACTTAATGGTATAAAAACTAAAATATGAGGGTATAAGGGCCATTTATCTTCATCTCTACCAAAAAAGTAACTTCCATGCAACTTTTTCTTATTATCAGGCAATTCTGCTTGAGCTGATGCACTCAAATAAGTTAGCCTTCAGTTAAAAATTTGGCTGATAGACCAAAAGAAAAACGAGCACATTGTCTTAAGAGCATTGTTAGATCAAAGGCATACTACCATGCGAGAAATCATGAACCCGCTGAAAAGGTTCCACATCATATAGAACGGTGCAGCAACGATCGCAGCTATGTTGTGGTTTGGAGTGACAGCAGTAGTCATCATCCCAAACAAAGTGAAGTATAGTAAGGTGAGGACCATGAAGCATATGTACCAAAAAAACTTCCAACAGCTCCACTCGAAAGATGCCATGGAGTAAAATATAGAGCTGTAGATGAGTGTTTGTATGAACACATAAGGGAACTCTACTGTAACCTGAAAAGCAATGCGAGAGTATCTTTGATGAGATATAATAATCATGCACTAAAAGAAAAAATGAAGAAAGAGTTAACCACATCTACCTCCACAGATTTGTTTAAAATACTAAAATACCAAATGATCCTCGAGGTTTCTGAAAATTATAAATAAATGAGTAAATTCCCTAAATAGGAGTAAAAAAGTTTTGAAATTTCAAAATAGGACTATCATGTTTTTTATTCCCTAAATAGGAGTAAATTTCTGCCAAGTTTGGCATTACTAGGCTTTTAAACATGCCATTTTTTTCCAAACTTGGCAGATTACTCCTATTTAAGGAATAAAAAACATGATACTCCTATTTTGGAATTTCAAAGCGTTTTTACTCCTTTTTAGGGCAATTTCTATAAATAAATCCCTTTACCAGTTAGAGTTTCACAAATGACCCTTTCATCACCATAAGATCATGGAATATAATAATGACTAAATTTGTTGTTTTTAACCCAATTTATCGTCTAGAATAATTACACCTTCAAAAAGAACGTTGGAGTAAATATTTGAGGACACTTCAGTCCTAAATCTCAATTCCAACTAACATAGTTATATCATGTCATCTTTCTGAGTAGTTAGCGGAAAATCTGACCAGGGAAAGAGCTTATTGGTAGCTTTCTGGAACCTTGAGACTCGTTTGGTCATTTGAACCTTGAGACTCGTTTGGTCATTTGAGCAAACCTGAGGGGATGTAGATGTAAATAACCCAATAATGAATGTGTCGTTCAAACTATTCTTAAGCTTTTAGCCAAGTCGAGTCACATCCCTCAAAAATCTTAAAGCAGATTGGATAGGAGGGTGTGCCTGTGCAAAAGCAAACGGTAGAGCAGAATACATCCCCGCTGCTCTTTCCCGATACGAAACGAATCTTTCAGTGTAAACCACAGGTTGAACCGAGGATGCGTTTGTTATTCCAATGAAAAGAACGGCTGCATACATCGATCCCATGGCATTCAGTATATCTTGTTGAGTATCCCTGTGAATATGGGGGTATTAAATAAATTAAGAGTGTAAATAATCAAATTAGAGCTCCTTTGGTAAGTGCGAAATTGGTTGAAATTGTGTCAGAGTAAAAACTGATTTCCAAACAGCCACTAAAACATTAGTTTTGAGTTACTGGAACCTTTTGGAGCCAAATTTCCAGCATATAGATCCAAACATCAACGAGATGATGACTGTGTAGAAGAAGCGCACAGCAGTGTACTGTGGGTTTCGCCAGTAGGACAAGTTCAGCTTCCAAAGACATGCCCAAAACTGACCAGAAAGTGTTTGGGAATACTTTCTTGGGAAATTTAATTCCACTGAATCTGCATTTGGTTTGCTCAACCTCTCCACCATATCCTTATTTTCCCTGAAAATACAGATTCTGCATAAGAAGAAAATTGAGAGAAGCAGTGTTTCAAAAAGCACTACACCCCAGTCATGTGCCTAGGAGGGGTCGATTAGGGGTGGGGGTATAGTTGGGGGGTCGGGTGGGATTATTAGAAGATAAGATAGGAGAAAACCAGGAACATACTGAAACAGATATGATTCACGATAAACTTGGGCAAAGTCTAAATGAAGACGGCTTTCCTCTGCAGGAGACGTGACCTCAAGAACCCAAGCTGCAGGGTTGTATCCAGCTCGAATTTTAGGAACCCCCTCAATTGCCTACTTAAACATCATCATGAGCTATAAACTTTTCAATAAGCAAATGCCTTGATACAAACCAATGAAAAGGGCCCTGAGAGTAAGAGAGTGCTGTTCCATTGTTTTTCTTGGGAAATAAACTCACTTTCCCTTATATCTAAGGCAACATTTGCAACTCAGGAAATGGTAGTGGGAACACTTTATTTTGGCTTCACCGTGGAAAATACAAAGGAAAATCATATCTTATTTGAACTTTTAAAGATTTAGATACACAAATAAAATGAGTAGGAGCCATGTTTTTATTATTCATCAAATGTTCTTCCATCCAAATTTTCAATGATTTCCTTTTCATATTGTTTCATTCGAATTTCCTGAATTCCAAAAGGGCCTTAAGTCCTGCCTCCCACCCAAGAACTGAATCTATTGAAAATAAACTCACTCTCTAGAGAATGTGGGACATTGCTTCTTTTCTCTAATGGGGGAGTCTAGCACTCTTTTTATTCCATGGAAAGCAATGCTTACTGTGTCAATAATACTGCGTTCTATCGGATTATGACTTTTACCTCGAAATACTGAATAAGTTTCTGTGACTCGGTTCCCAATGGACCACCATAGATGAGCTCCCCACCTCGTTTCATAAGCAAAAGCTAAAACATAGAAGAAATAAAGGCAATCAAACGTCATTTAAACTAAGACTTGGCTAATAAACTACTCCCTCCGTCCCAATTTAAGTTCTCACTTGTAGACATCCCAGCAAAAGATTCACATTCTATTTTAGGGAGTAGTTAGCACTCTTAAATGACAAATTAATCATCAAATTTAAAAAACACCTATAACATCACAGTTATCATCAATGGCCTCTTCTCATTATGTTATATACCCATCAATACTACTTCTAAAAATATACTTGAATTACTTTATTTAATTATTGTCTATATAACTGTGCCATTTTTCAATGAGACGCTTAAGCCGGGACGGAGGTAGTACTCTATGCTATTATTAATTGGACCTTGTTAATTTCAGAACCTCATCAAATGCTTCAAAGATATCTATGCTGGGTTGATGAATTGTGCAAACAATGGTCCTTCCAGTGTCAACAATATTCCTAACTGTTCTCATCACAATAGCAGCAGCTCTTGCATCGAGTCCTGAAGTAGGTTCATCCATGAAAACTATGGAAGGGTTGGCAACAAGTTCGATAGCAATTGTCAAGCGTTTTCTTTGCTCAGTTGACAGCCCATCAACTCCGGGAAGGCCAACCAACGCCCCCCCTAACGGAGTCAATTCAACCAACTCCATAACCTCTTCCACAAAAGCCTGTAAAAGAGAGGGTCTTAGCGAGTTGAATCTATGTAGAAATTGAAATTTAATAAGACATGGGTCAAACATATGCTTAAACGGTCGGAATCCATCCAATTGCATAGGTGAACTCAGTCTTATAAGTAGTACTTAGTATATGTTTTACAATATACTTTCAAGGCTTAAATATGTTTTGTGTCCATGCGGATAGAGCACTTTAGTTTTAGATCCCTGCAAAAAAAAGTTTTTTTGTTAATTGTTTCTGTAATTTACATCGTATTGCCATTTTTTTAGTACCTCTCCATCAACCTCCGTCCAGACTAATTTTTCACATTAACTTTTTTTTAATGCTTGACATATTTTATTTCCAGAGAGTCATAGAGGAATAAAAATTGAAAGTGAGGATGATGAGTTTCCCCAACTCCCATAATTGTCGCCTGAATGGTAAAATTTTTAATAGATATTGCCGATGGGCTAAAACATACTCCCTCCGTCCTGAAAAGGTTGGCCAAATTTCCTTTTTGGATGTCCCAAAAAGATTTGCCATTTCCATTTAAAGTAAGGAATATGTGGTTAAAATTAATTCTCTCTCCTCTGCACAAATTTCAACCACACAGTTTTTGCTTTATTAATCAACGTGAAAGTCAACTTTGGCCAACCTTTTCGCGACGGAGCGAGTAATAAACAGAAAAAATGCTATATTTTCAGGTACGAGAAAACATATTTATTTATGTGTTCAATGTAAATACTTATGAAGAGAAACTGAAGAATCATAAAGGAAACAGGGATGTTCTTATTTTACTACATACCTTTTGTGTTTTCAAATCAATTTGAGAGGATAGACGGAGCCACGCAGAAAAAAGTATGGACTCATTGACAGTTAAGCATGGGGAATGAATATCGTTCTGCTCACAGTAACCGGAGACTCTTGCAAAAGTTTCTTGCTTCTTGGGATGACCCGAAATGTATATATTACCTTCAATATGCCCACCAGTTTTCCTACCCGCTAAAACATCCATCAGTGTAGTTTTTCCAGCACCACTAACCCCAACTAAAGCAGTAAGCACCCCAGGACGGAACGCCCCACTGACATTCACCAATAACTGCAGTCGATCATCCACTACCCCATCCCTCTTAAGTTCCTGAAATGTCATATAGTAATAATAAGGTACTTTTTCACCAGTATGGTACAGGGGCTTGTGGTTATAATTTACCAGAGGGATATCCACGTAATAGTTGATGTTACTGAAAGACATGGAAAGACTCTGAAATGGAAGAACCATGCCGTTCTTCACGTCCTGTCCTGCTAATATGCCAATCACGTTTAATGGGAGAATATCAGCTATACAGATCAAATGGTTGTAACAAACCTGTATAGGAGTGTGAGTGCTGCAAATACTCTGAGAGCTCAATGACGCTACTGGATTCATTTTCTTGGCAAATTCTTAGCTTCCTCTTAGGAGCAACTGTTTGTTGGCTCCCAATCGCTGTAGAAAGTCATCAAACCACATTCTATTGGATTCTGAGTTCGATACATTAGCTAATCCAACCTACATATTTGTCTTTAATGTTTCTATGTTGGACTCTTGCCAAGTATAAGTAATTGGGATGAAACTTACGGTTAAGGTAAGTCAGAAATATTGTGAAGAGAATGTTGAACAAGACTGTATATCCAAGCAAGGCACCAACTCCAATCCAATACCAGTAATCTTCTGAAAATAAGCTGCGGGCCTTCATTAACATCTTTCCCAATGGCAAAGCAGAGCCCCCAACATTCTACCAGATAGATAGATATAAGGTAGGGAGTATATTTTAAGAGTCTCACATCAAATTATTATACATAAACACAACAAAGTCTCAAACTAGGCAACCGATATGGATTTCATCTTTTAGTTTGGTGTGGTCCATCCGTCCATGTGTATTATAATTGCGTAACCTCAACCAAATTATTATTCGGCAACCCCTAAACTCAGTTTGTTCAATTTTAAGACAGGCTTCATAAACTATCAGGAAAGATTCAAGGTGTTCAGTACATTGTATCTAGAGACATGACAACGTATCACCGGAGTGGGTAAAAGGCTGAGAACAGAAGGATACCTTATCCCAAGAATGGCCGCGAAACTCATTCACCGAAGCTGCATTTTGAGCATACATCAAAGGAGAAACCCAGTAACCCCATATCCACCAACTGGGGATGCTATCTGACACAACATGAAAGATCATGGGAAGCTTCAATGCAATGTTCTAAATAATGCTATGGTGGAACATAGATGTGATTAGGCAGGGTCAATTCGGAAAAGAAAAACATAGCTGGCCACCAAAAGAGGTCCAGCACCTATGCTGAGGCTCATAATGAACCACACTACATGATTGAACACACCCAATTAGCTAGTCTAACTCAAATCCTTATGAATCCTTATGAACTTATACATCTCTCATTACTATTTTAACAAGGCTGATGCTGAAAAATATAGGGATGAACCTTTATTACCTCTGGACAGAACAAACCCACCAAGTGCCATGACTATTAACATTGCAAAGGATCCAAATGTGTTCGCAACTACCATATTTCGGCCTAATGATGCCATCACACGAAAAAGGCCTATCGACATTTGGTGCAATGAGAAATACACAAGAAATTGCTTCAGGCATCTGAAGTTCAACACAATAAAGTACTTACATCAATACTTTTAAGCCATGCAACGCCCGATACACATTGGTAAAAAATGGAAACACGTGTAAAACATAAAGCTTACCTTATTATTTGAGGATCAAAGCCAACTGTATAATATGTGGCTGCAACCCATATCACTGATTCAGCAAGTGAAGTAGGGATACTCAAAATCCAAGAGGGAAAGGTAAATGCCCAACATGGGTATAGCCGAAGATCTCTGTGCTTATAAAGGACCGGGAGCTTGGCTATGATCATGGGAACCTCTAAAAAGCCATTGAAAAGAACCATAAGGATTGCAAAGTAGAGTGCACCGAGATAGATAGCTCCATCTTCAAGTGTATCATGATGCATTGTTGACCGGAAAAATACACTCATCATGATTGAAATGATCATAAAGAGCTGCAAAAAAAATGTTTCTGTCTCATAATCATAACAAGAAGATTATTCTAATAAAAAAATCCATATTATATTTGAATTTCCATTGTAAAAAGTCAACCTCACGGAGGGAAAAGACCAAGTCCTTATATGTTCATATGGTGGTTTAACAAAATAAAGTTGCTCATTTAAGCTTAATATACTACACCATATCAAGAATTCAAGACTTACATTCTGTCCGAAAAAGTCAACCTCATTGTATATGTTTTCCATGTATTTCATTATATTTGTTTGATGCGGGCGACTTAACAACTTAGGGGCTGAGCTTTACTTGACTGCCTACTGTTAGAAATATGCTCTAGGACAATCATAATTTTATGATTTTTGCTTGGATAACTCATGTTCATTGACATATAAAGTTATGAACTTCTTTTATAGTACTATCAGTTCTCTTTATTTATAACCGGTCGCTGAATGATATGCTTAGTAGCTAGTCAACTTCATGATTGATTGTGGAATGCTACACATTCTTATAACTTTGATCTTGTACTTGCCATTAGCAAGAATGTCATTTTTGTTTCTTGTTTGGACAAGAAGGGATTTTATTTATAATAAAAAACAACATTTATACCATTTACTTTAATAAAATCTTTTATAGTAGTGCTCGTCTTATAAATGAGTTTTATATTCTGGACTTCGAAATGCTCATTTATCACATGAATACAAAAAGGTTTAAATCTAACATTTCGAACCTGACATACCTCTGGAATTGTAGGTTAGACCATATAAATGAGAAGCGCATTAAGAGGCTATATTCCAATCGACCTCTTGACTCCTTTGGTTTTAAATCAATTGAGGAATGTGAATTTTGTTTACTCGGTAAAATGGCAAAGATACCCCATACTAATAAAGGTGAGATAGTTCATGACTTATTAGGCCTCATACACATTTTAATGTATGTGGGCCAATGTCGAAAATGGTTAAAGGAGGTTTTCAGTACTTCATAACATTCACTAATGACTATAATAAGTTCAGGTTTGTTTACCTAATGAAGCATAAACATAAATCCTTTGAAAAGTTTAAAGAATTCCTAAAAGACATTCACAATAATGAGTTCTCTTTATTAATAATTAGTCCCTCAATAATATGCTTAGTAGCTAGTCAAGTACTTGACTTGATTGTGGAATCTCACACATTCTTATAAGCATTATATTTCTATTTAATCTCGGGGAAACCGCATTTTCAATCCTTCAAATAGTATCCACATTGAAATGTTGCCCCCGTATTTTCAAGTTTGTAAAGGTCACCCCTCTTTTTTCAATTTTGCCTTCATTTCAATACACTTTTATCATTATTTTCCCTCTCATTTCAATTTTGAAATACTAGTTAAGAACATGACTTCACAAACAAGAGGTGTTAATTAGACTTACAATGAAGACATGGGTAATATAGTAAATAATGTTATTGTATAGTAGCACATATTTTGATTGGCAATTGGAGTTTATTTGAAAGTAAGCTCGAGTGTGCATATTTTAATAACTACGAAAAATATAAATTTAATTTTTCTACATCGGAATGTTTGACTTTTTCAATCATAATTATTGGTAAACAAATTGTCACATAATTGATGTGTAATAATAAAAGTTAAGGATTTATGCATTTAATTTATAAAGAAAAAACTATGTTGGGTGAATATATTGACGGTGCTAGGTTGCAAGAAAAAATGGATTGATTGAGTGAATACGTAAAAACTGGTGGAGAATTTAATTAATTCACCTATCAGGGTTGCGGCTAGCCTAACCTTGGTCAATCCATGCCTAGTGTAGTCGGCTAGCTTGTGCATTCTACAACGTCAACGTCAAATTATGTACAAAGTGCGCAAGTTTTAAATTAAGATGGCAAAAAAAATGACCTGGATGAATTTAAAAGCAAAAACGAATGCATTCCGCTTTAGAAGTAGCATCTGCCATTGGAAGCCAATCTTTAGGATCTTGGCTTTTCTTACACCATACATTTTAGTTGACAATGCTCCTGAGATACTGCAATGCTTGGCAATTGGAGTTTTCAGCTCATCCATCAAAGAGTTACCAATGTGAAAGGTCTGGAAGCTGTCTACAAATTTCGTTGCAGGTATATAGTGGTACTGGCTATTAAGAAACCAATACTTCCTTTGATCCTTCTCAGATGTAACCTGCAAATGAATATGAAGATATAAGCACATTTATTGGGACAAAATTTATCATTGTTTTGTAACGAATTGCCAACTGAACATACAGACCTCTTGCAGAAAGTCAGCAACATTTTTTCTAGGAGGGCATTTAAACCCCATAAATGCGAAGAAATCAAGAGCACTTTCTTGTGGGCCCTGATATATAATCTGTCCTTCACACAGCAGAATCACATCATCAAACAGGCTGTAAGTCTCAGGATCCGGTTGCAAGAGAGAAACTAGTGTGGTCCCACTAAAAGCATGAGTTGAATGCTTTAGATATCTGATGATTTTGTAGGTGGTTGAACTGTCGAGGCCAGTTGAAATCTCATCCATTAACAGTACCCTTGAAGTTCCCACTAGCAATTCACCTGCATGAATAAACAAAACCAAAAAATCAGCAATCAAAACAGCTCTTCACTTTGGTAATGTGAAGAATAGCTTTGATGCTAAATCAACTCTCTAAAAGGTAACACTTATTAAGAGCTTCATCCATGATCCATTCATGGCTTGATTTGATGTCATGTCACGATCAAAGTTGGAGTGATGGACATAACCCCAAAAAAGCTCCAAAGATGTGAGCACCAACTCATATTTAGCAGATGTAGAACAGTCTTCAATTGACCAACGAGTGGACGATAGAATGGGGATAGTCAAGGGATTAAATCATCATCATCATCATTACCCCAGTGCCGCAAAGGCTCCCACACCTTCGGTGGGGTAAGGGGAGTCAAGGGATTAAATGGGGTTGATTAATTTGGGAAACTAACAGAAACAGTGAAGGGAAGTCTAGCGCCTAAGTGGGAACTAACTATGCGGTCTAGACAGGTAATTTTAGAACAGAGCTAATAAATAAGGTAGGTAAAACCTGTTGTGAGACGCTTCTTTTGCCCCCCTGAGATCCCTTTGAGCATTTCATCACCCACTAATGTATTAGCGCAAGTATCCAATCCTAAAATCTTTGCAGAAATAGATGGGAAAAAATGAAACCTCTCTGCGAACGAACAAACAAAAGTTACGAAGAAGAGAAAAGGTTAATTTTCTTACCTTTAAAATGCAATCCACAACTGTGCTTGTCTGCTCTCCAAGTGCTACTGCCTAGGAAGAAACAATTCCTTTAATTTTGAGATATGAGACATGCATTAACCTAAACAACAGGGGGGCGAGTTAGGAAAGGAGGACCAATGGTGGAGCCAAAAGACTTACGCCAACCCCTCCCTCCATGCCTTGATGGGACTGAAATCAGAAGAAGAAGAAGAAGAAAACAGACGCGGTCCAAGGAGATGTACCTTAATAAACATATCAATATCAGGATCAGGGGTTATTCTGGCAACTTTCTCCCTTCTCAAGAGTTCCATAAGCAAATCTGCAACCAAATCTCAGCTGCTCCACATGAAATTGAAAAGCAATTAAGGAATAGACAAAAGGATATGATGCAACAGTGGTTTTACCATGCTTAAAGCCATTGCCCTGACATTGCCCAGAGAACTCGACAGTCTCCCTCACTGTCATCTCTGCAATGTGGCAATCCTTTTGGCTCACGTAAGCTGACGTTCTCTGAGGCACAAACTCCTTCAGACAATGCCCGTTGTATGTAATCTTCCCTGACATCTTCAAAGTAGTTAAAGCACATTAAATACTCTAAACAAAACCACATACTGTAACAATGTGAAAAACTGATAAGAACCTCAATGGTGACCGGGTCTCTATCAAAGACTAACATGTGTATTGTTTTATTAAGATTTGGGGTTCTTTTACAGAAGTTCTGAGAGTAAACATCATCGACATAGCTAGAGGTAAGCCAATCAGGCCGTCGCCCATCCCAAGTTCATTAAAAAGGCATTTTTTTACTTTTTACTGCAATTTTATATGGATGAGTTACTTTTCTGGCTCAACCCGAATTCGGATTTGAACTTTCAGGAACCCAGGCTATTCCCATGCTCAGGACTGAACTGCTCATATGTTAAGATACCTTATTAATATTTGGGCTCCATGCTAACTCAAAGTCAGATATGTTACTTTTTTGTTGTTATATTTTTTCAATGTGGGAATGGGATGACATAAAAATTATTTAGTTAAGGAAAACTATTGTACCTTCAAACCAGGACCAAGGCGTCCAGCCAGAGCCAAAAGCAATGTGGTCTTCCCAGAGCTTGGAGGACCGAGAAGAAGAGTCAACCTGACAGCCACACCACTTTTAAGTAGCAGTAACACAATTTCCAGAAGAAGAGACTTGCTTGATTGATCAAAGCATGCAGTATTACCTTGAAGGCCGTAGAACACCGCTGATGTTATTTAGGATGGACAGTCTCTTTCGTCTCTGGCCCGAAAATACCCTGAGCTTTCTCAAGAAAGCCTTTTTTTATTGTTGAAAATTGTCAGACAATGTTACAAAAATGGGAACTCCAACTGCCAAACAGGCTAGTAGGCTACAGATATAACAACAACAACATTCGAGCCTTAGTCTCAAGCATTTAAGGTTTACTAACATGAATCGCCATGTGAAATCGGAGCTAAGAAAGATACAAAACGATAAGAAGATAAGGTAAGATAATATAAGATAAAAACGATAATAAAGTAAGATAAGAAAAAGATACAGATAAGATGAAGCTAAAAAAGATAAGATACAAAAGATAAGATAAAAAGATAAAGAAGGTAAGAAAGATAAAAAAGAAAAAGATAAAAAGAAAAATCTATATCAATTCTCCACATGTATATTCTCACTCCATTTTTCTCTCTCCAAAGTTATCCTCTCATCCAACCCAATCAGTACTCAACAGCCTACTGATATATGAAAATGTATGAAAATATACCTCGGTCGTGTTCAATATGGAATTGGGGATAGTTGGCAGTGCTCTACTCCCTTCATGGATAAATGCATCCACCTTGAGATCTTGAAACCGAACTTCGACCTTTGGGAATTCTAAATCAACTCTGCAATTTAATTATATAAACCAATATCCACGAGTTTTAACTACTAGGGCCAAATTAATATCAATGCATCCTAAGAAATTAGCTTATTAATAATTAAGGTGTCATTACATTTGAATAGTTGAAGGGCATAAAACTTCTCTACTGCTGAGGGGTCTGATGTTACTTCTTAGTTATATATGTCAATCCAAAAATAGTGTAGTGGTCATACGCCTCTCATGCATACAGCAAATATGCACTTTTCATTAATATTGGATTGGCTAGTGCACCTTCTTGGGCGCCCATTCCTATAAGCATCCACAATGCAAGGATGTCTAGTCTAAATAAAGTATACTAATCGTCAAATAAATAGAAGGCCTTTGAACCCACATAATACAATGTGAAATAACTAAGCATAAAACTATGAAATAAGGTTCCAATGCATAAAGTCTACACCTTCATTTAAGTCATCATCATCATCATCATTACCCCCAGTGCCGCAAAGGCTCCCACCTACGGTGGGGTAAGGGGGGTCGGATGTACGCAGTCTTACCCCTGTACTAAAAGCACAAAGAGACTGTTTCCGAATGACCCAAGTGAAAATCGCGTCAAAAATTGCATAGACTGACTGTTACTTCATACCAAAGAAGCGCAGACAGTTTAGTGAGCCACTTTGCTTTATTCCATCATATTCCCAAGACAAAAAATAGTGAGTCTTTGGCTCCATTGAAAATGATGGAAATACACCTTCATTTAAGTATGTGGAATAAATTATACGTATTAAACTGCCATGATTTTTCTCCCTTTCTGCTGATTTTTCGGATTAGTCTTGCCATTTCTTTTTTTATTTTGTCTAGTCACCAAGTGCACAAGGCTTTCTACATTCAAACATGAGAAAATTTCCCAAATAGGACTAAATTAAACTTAAATTGCCAGAATAGGAGTATATATAACTTCAACATTCCCTAAATAGGATTATCTTTCCAATTATACCATTGCTTTGTTTTGATACAATTCTCAACTACCTCCGGGCACCACCAACTCCGACCACCGAAAAAATGCCAACATGTGTCAGTAATGCCATTTTGATGGCTGTTTTAGAGAAAAATTCGGCATTTTCAAACAGTAAAAGTGACATTTTTCTATACAAAATGCCATTTTTTCGTCGACAGGAGGTAGTGTGTGTTGCTGGGAGGTGGTAGAGGCTACGGGAAAGGCCTCAATTTTTTTAACTTGTATGTGTTTTATCTATTTTTATTTATTTTTAAAGTTTTTTTTTTTAAACCTTTTAAGATTTTAAAATTTTTATTATTTTTTAAAAAATATTTTTGAATTTTTCCCTATTTTTTATGATTTTATTATAAATTAAAATATTTTTATGACTATTATGTTTTTATTACAAATTAAAATATGATTTTCCTAGAGTGTACTTTAGTCTATTTGTGCATTTAAGGATTAATTAATTTACTCCTATTTAGCTCCAAACATTTATTTTGAAATTACTTAATTTTTTTGCCAACTCATCAAAACCTAATCATTAAATTAACAATGTTAAACTCAAGGATCTGGCACACTGGGGATGCTCTAATAAGGCAATTCAATTGGGGCTACCGTGTTGATTGGATAACTCTTGCACAGGAGTAGACGCTTATATCTTCCATTTTTTAAAACTAACTGTAGCAAATATGAATTGAGCCGAGGAACAGCTCTTTATGCATAAGAAAGTATCCAAAACATTTACTCACTGTAGCAAACAAAAGTCATCAAGGTAGGACTGTTATAGTTTTGGTAAATCATCAAACATTGTTTGTTTTTTCAAGTAAATTAGGCATGCTGATCGAACTTGGTTTGTAAATAAAAGTTGAGTCTTTTTTTATTTAGACTAGCTAAAAAAGAAGCAATTAGTGGGAAAGCAGGCCACTTACGCCTCCAATCGCTGCCTCACTCTTGTGAAAAACAAGTGAATGTCCCCGTCGATGGCCGCCGTCAACTTCTCAAGCACTTGCTCCCGCTGCGGCTCTTGGAGCCGCCGGACATCCAGCACCGTAACCTCTCCTCCTTCCTGCCCTATAAAGACCGAATTCCGGGAACGGAAGACAGTGGGAGACCTCTGCAATGCAGCCTTGATGAGTGCCTCCTCATCGCTGCTTCCTCCATTCTGTGCAATTCTTGAAAACATGGTTTCTTTAGCACTCCACATTGCTAGCTGTGTGCTGCATGTGGACAGTAGTAATGGGGGGAGGCCCTCATATAAAACCTGCAGGTTTCCATCTTTCTTTGGTTTAAGTCTTCATTAATTATCAATACAAACCATGAAGAGGTGAGGTGGGTGCCGTAGGATGTGCACATTCACCCACTTTGGAGGCTGGCTTTGAAAAGGGAGGGACCGAGGGAGGGGGCTTTCATTTCATTTATTACCTCAACCCAACAAAGAAGGAGGCTCATGAATAAGTTTCAGGAGACATCTTGCATGTTCGGGGGATTCTCAAGAAATTTACGAAACTCTCACTCAAAAGTCTCAAATAGCTGCATTCGTGGACGGATATATGTAAAAAATTATATTTAAAATATTTTTATTGATAAAATAAAGAAAAAATTTATATAAAAATACTTAAAATGATCCTCTGCAATAACTTCACTCAATATAGTCAGAAAAGTAACTATAACCTTAATTTTTCTTATTATTACACAATTTAGCGGTGAAATCAAAAGTTACATATTTGGTGGAAAAAATGGCTAATAAGTCAGATAAGGCGAAAAACAGAGTTACCGAACAGAACATGCTCTAGTTTTAGGCTTATAAATAGACATAGTTTTAGGAGATTTTTTTACTTTCATGGAACCAAATAGACTATACATTTTATTTACGCAAATATGATATTAATCTAACTATACTCATTTAAAGTTATTTATGCACCCAAATGTTCCTTTTTAATACTCCTTATTACCCAACTCAAAGATGTTGAATAGTTTATAAACTTTTAAAATATACCCCGCGAACCTATTTAACATCACTTATAATCTCAACTGATGTGGAATCATTTATAATAATTATAAAAATTACCATGTGTCACTATTTCACATGGGTTGTGAAATAACACATGTAGAAATTGTGATGTTAAAAGGTCTTTTTGTACTATTTTCACATATATCAGTGTTGCGTGTTATTTTGTTATGAAATAATGACTTGCATATTAAAGTTCAAATCGTTGAATATGGAAAAAGTTTGATTTTATTACCAAAATGCAACCGTGCCTTTTAATCCATTAGATCTTTCAAATGGTGGGCATATATTAGTTTGTATTTTGTAAATTAGGAGCACTTTATAAATGGTGATAATTTAACAGAATAAATTATTAATATTTCAGATAAGTAATTTTTAAACAAACACCAAGAAGTAATGGCCCATATACTGATCATGATGATATTCCCTTTCCTAAACTTTGGAATGGACAAAATCACATGCCACTGAGAATTCACATTGACTTCCTCGAATAGCAGGTGAAATTTCTCTTTACTGCAATGTGTGTGTGTTTTGTACGATATTGGTTACGGAAAACAACACCATTTTAGTTGGCACATGTTAGGGATCACAACACTCAAAGTGCTCTAGGCGATAAAGATTAGTTACGGAAAACAACACCATTTTATAGTGTAGCAAAGCAGAATATAATGATATACATGCATGTTTTGTATTTGTTAAACAATGATTAATGTAATCTAAGATAAAGTTCACAGTTAATTAGGATATGTTTTTTAATCCAAGATAAATTGTTCTGGTTTATCATACCAGTAGTTTTTAGATATAATAAATTTTTAATATATTTTATGTGAAGTATATATAGTTAAACTACACAAAGTTAAAGCCAAAAGTTTAAAGTATTGTTATATGAATCTAATTTGTTTTTCTATAGAGATCGGTCAGAGTTAAAAAAGATCTAAAGTTGTATATTACAACATTGCATGAATGGAAAATAAAAATTGCAAAAACACAACTTCAGGACCGATATTTATGTCTAAGACTCTAAGTATTATTATTAAAAAGGAGAAAAAGTGAGTAACATATTAGACTAATAGTTAATGTTGAAATATAGGTTAAAATAAAAAACTTGTAAACGGTTCTTTCTGAGATACTCCTTAATCTTATAGTGGTAAGCGGAATCACCAATTTTGTCCCACTGTCATGTTTAGTTGACTAACTCCAGTGAATGAAAAGTTATGCAACCAAGAGACATTCCATTTACACTCCAATGACATAATTGTGCACGGTGCACATGCACCTCATCATTATCAGAACCTATGCGACCAAATTATTCTAAAGCATATTAATATCATAACTTCATAACCTTTTTAAATCAAAGCACTAAGTTTCGATTCATACAGAAATTACTCCGTATTTGTTATCATCTGGTCCAAAAAACTCGCGTGGAAGAGGATCATTAAGATCTTCACTACTCTTTTTGGCTGATTCAATGAAAAGATATAACTAACACACCACACTGAAGGCTGAAGCACATCCCTGCTCTTCATGATGTAGTCCAGAACCTAAAACCGGAAAGCAATTACATTGCCAGACATACAAACACTTCAAAGAGAGATTACAAAATAAAATAAAAAGTTTTAAAAGTAGATAGATGAAGATATGGATCTATCACATACCTTGTTAGCCACTGAAAAAGTAATTGTATTGACTATATTTTTAAATTACATAAAACGTTATTATCATTAACAATTAATTAATCATAGTTTAGACGTTTTAAAACATTACAAATCATTGTTCATTTTAAGGTAACCAACATACATTGCTATTTTAACCTTGTATATGCATAAAGCTACCAAAGAACTAAGCCAAAAGTTAAGAGATTCACCTTTCTTTCTACAAAACAAATAACAACAACATTTAGGATCTCCCAAAAGTTAAAAGATTCGTCTTTCTTTATAGAGTCACGTTTCTTTCTATATCTGTAAAAGTTATACCATTATGACCATTTAGAATATGTCCTGGTGATATTAAAATCATATTCACTGGCCGGATTGAAAGTTACTTCTGCTTCCAAGAATTAACCTAATGTTTTATCATCCAAATGTTGCTGAAATCAATCACTACATTCATATTCCATAAAATAAATAATGAATACATACTTCAGTGCTAAATGGGCGATTCAAGTTTCTATGTGAAAATAGCTAATAAATGGCAGATATTTATACATAAAAACAATCATAATAAAAGTCTATATTTCTCGAAATAGCATCTTCTAAAACACACTGACACCAATTCCCAAGAAAAATGTAGCTATTGACACCAAAAAATGATGTACCTACTACCTAGCTAGATCAGTGTGAAAAAGAGGAGAAATCAAGCAAAAAATGATGTACCTACTTCGAGCAGGTGATTGAAGGCGGGGAGATGGCCCTCGCTGTTCAAGTTGCAGAGGAGGAGGAGCACAAGGAGAGTATGAAGGTCACCATTGTCGTGCCCCCCCTCGTGGTGCTGGTGAAGCAGGGAGCTCTCGGCCTCTTAACCCGACACCTCTGAGGGTGGCCCCCGGGAACAAGCAGGAGAAATCGAAGGCTGCTCCCAAGAAGAAGGGCAGGGTTGCTGATCAAGGAAGACCAATTGATATGCCCGAGGGGTACTCTTGGTTGAATATCGCTGCCCTCGAGATAAGATCGAAAGCTGACCGGGAGGATCTCTTCGTCACTCAGTTGCATGTGGGGCCCTCGGCCGTAGTGGTGGCGCCGGGTCCTGATGATGTGCTCTCTCGGGCTCCCGAGGGTTGCATCGCCGTCCACATTTTGTCCGTATCAATGGGACTCCGGTTCCCCCTACACCCATTCCTTCGGGAATATCTGAGGTACGTGGGTCTGGTCCCTTGCCAATTGACGCCCAACATCCACTCATATGTGGCAGGCTTTCTGAACCTTTGCCGGTCCCGAGGGGTGACCCCCAGCCTAGATTTGTTCTTCCAGAGTTTCAACCTCTGCCGGGGGGGTCACGCGAATGCTGAGGGCTTTGCGAACCTGCAGTAGATAGTCAGGTGGAAGCTGTTTACCGAGGCGCCTTCATCAAATAAAGGCTGGAAGGAGCGATGGTGTTACGTCAGAGTGGACGAGAGCCCCTTCCCGAGGGAGCTACGGGATCGTTTCCGACGGCATCCGAAGGTCGGAAATGCTGCTCTCGAGAAGGATGGTTTGATCATAGCCAAGATCCCGGAGGGTCGCATGAAGAATGTGTCTATCAAAGACTACACCCTTGATAAGGATCTTTATGCCCTCGGCTTCCGGAGGTATCGCTTCCTTGGTGAGACGGACGAGAGGTACCCCGAGTTGGACAGAGCCTTCGAGGGAGCAGGAGGTAGTAGCCGAGGGCTTCCCAATTTGTACTTAGGATTTTTCCCTTCTCTTTTTTTTATTGTTTGTTCACGCTTTTTACCCCTCGGTCTAACTGTTTTTTGTCGTTTGCAGGCGCGAACATGGACGCAGGGAAACTCTTTGCTTTGAAGAAGAAAAAGGGCAAGGCCCAGGCTCAGAAGAAGGACCCTTCGGCCTAGCAGCCCGTTGAGGCCTTTTTCCAGAAGGAGACATCGGAGCCCTCCGCTGCGGCTACCGTTGCTGGTGTGGCCGAGGGGGCCACAAAAAAGAAGAAAGGCAGTAAGGGGGTAGAGCCCCCTGCCAAGAAGCAGAGGGGTCCCGGGGATGTTGCTGACCAGGCAGCCCCCTTGGTGATCATAGAGGATCGCCCCTCTCCTGAGCCCCCGGTTGGCACTGTGGCGGCAGCTCGGACGGACCTTCCCCCGGGAGGCTTCCCCCGGGATATTCTGCAGCTCTCCCTTGCTCCGGGGGCTTCCGTTATGCATGGCTCGGCAGAACCGAAGGCCTTCCTGAGGGGGATCACTTCGGCGATGGACAAGGCGGCCCTCTCAACTTATGACGACGAGGCCGTCGAGAGCAAGATCTTCCGCTCTTCTCTGACTGTAAGCTTTCTCCCTTGTCCTTGTGTTAACTTTTAATACATTTCCAACACTTGTCTAACTCCTCCGCTCGTTGTTTAACAGGCTTGCATAGCCCTCGGGGAGAATGCGCAAAGGCTCAAGCAGTGGCGCCTCCAGAAGGCGGAGCAGGATCGAAAGATGAAGGAGCTCATCCTCAAGAACTCCGATGCCGTGAAGTAGATGGCTCTGCTGGAGGAGGACCTTCAGAAGGCTACCGAGGGGGCTGAGCAGAGGATTAAGGCTGCCGTGGAGGAGGCCAGACTCGAAGCCGAGAGGGTTGCCGCCGAGGCCTCCAAGAAAGCTGCTGAGGAGGCAGAGTCCGCCGAAGCCATCGCCAAAGCCCGAGAGGATGTTGTCGCTGCGTTCATGGCTGAGGACTGGAAGACCGAGGAGCGGCAACAGTGGGTGGCCTC